TGCCCTTCATTCAACATTTAAAATGTTGCCAATAAACCACACAGGATGTTTAGATTATATTTATTTGTCATAGTCCCGCATCTTAAGAGTACATCATGAGATAAAACAACACGAATAAGAATAAACACAAAATTAGAGCCATGAACTTATAAAATACAAAATAATTAAAATTACCTTATGGTTATAGGTCCTTTTGTACGTACCGTAGAGTCACAATTTATTCAGATATTTCAGTTTTATTGCCTGATTTAATGTTCATTTCATTTACATAAAATTCTAAATTTAAAAATGCACAAGTACATCACTGACTTGAAAATGGAAATAGTTTTTTAGATTGCTTTGGGGTTCACAACTGAAGGTAGATAGTGCTCACAAGCCTCCAAGGTGCTTGGCACAACCATGGACAGAAGACACACTGCATGGTTAGATCAAGCACAATGGGGTCCTGGGCAAAGACAAAAAACCATCAACACAGTTCATAGGGGATCCAGCTCAATATAAGGCACCCAAGGGACTTGAAAGCTTTGTGACTTGGTTGAAATGTAAATGGAGGTAAAATGAGAAAAACAGTAAAACAGAATATTTCTTTTTACTTCTATCAGCCAACTCACCCTTGAGGAGTGTGGTTAAGTGTCAAAACCCCTGAAAGAGATACATTAACGTAAAAGTATTTTCTTGCAGTTGAAAGACAATCCAAGAGCTCGATTTGTATCTGCAGTCCAAGAGTCGAAAAAGTCCAAAGGTGTGAGGGAGGGGATCCGGGTTCGTGGATAGGTTGTTAAAAAAGAAAAAAAATACATTCCAATACATACATTGCACCATTGGTTTACATAGATTAGCAAAGAAGTGACAGTTGCAGTTAAGAATATCTGCAGAATAAAAAAAAAAGATTAGTCATAGGTCACGTTCACTGCGGAAAAAAGGACTACACCCTTTCTGCGTATAAACTGCGTCAAACCCCACCCTCCAGTCCTTCGCACCCAACTCTACTAGATGCGACTGACAATTTTTTTTTTTTTATTCGGTCACTATTTTATCATACAAACATACACATGAAACATTTTCAAGAAAAGATTTATAGCAGGCCTGAGGAATGGTGGCTTAATCGAATGAGTTCTCCATCTGTTGGGTGTTCCTCAACTGATCAATGGAAGAAGAGTTTCATCAGTGATCTCCGCTGCATCTCATAGAGTCCAATCTCTGAAATTGTACAAGTAACTGACTTAAAAATAAGTCTTTGTGGCCACTGAAACCAACGGACTCAACAGGGCTATATTGCTGTTGTCCATCTGAGGACATTTTCTGTCTTCTCAGAGTAAAGACGCAATCCCTCCTAACATTTTAGTTCTAACTATGTTAACGGTCACTTAGTGCGATGTCAAGAGTCGTGATACCATCAACCTAAGAGAGCTTTTTCTCCTAAAGGTTTGACAATCTTGTTACCTTCTCTTGTGTCTTTCGTGGCTCCCCTGGGACATCTTACTAAAATGAGAAGGCATGGTGCAATAATCAACTTAGACCTCTGGCAACTGGACCACTTTGTGTGATGAAATTACACCGTAATGCATATTTATGCACCAAAGAGAAACCCTGCATTTGTTGCGACCAAATGGCACGAAAATGGGAGTACTTTGGGTGAAAATGGTGGGTGGTGGCGGTGAAACGGACCTCTGTTTTTCCAGAACAATGAGGATGTTTCAAAGGGGATGTAGTGTGGCTGATGGGGATGGTGTGATGGTTTTTTTATGCACAGATGATTGTGATACATAATTATGCGTCCTTACCTTGTTTCTTTCTTGCTTCGAAAAATTGACATGGATAACCACAATCAAGATCCTTCAGTAGTTGCAGTTCAAACGCATGCATCTCAGAATCTAGTTCTAAATTTGACCGAAGGATGTCTAAAAGTTTCTAACAATTTATCATTAAAACCATCTGATTTAAAGCAAATTACATGAAATATTCTTCAGACTAGGGGTCACAGTGACCAACCCAACAAACTATCAATGCAACACTACAAATCTGAGACTTGGTCATAACTTACTTTGTATTTTACAGACAACCTCCAGCTGCTGTCTTTGGAAAGTCACTTCTACACATTTGGTCTTTCTAAGAAACCCACCTTTCCGTTCTCTGGCCCCAAAGTCGATGTTGCAGCTGGTTGAAGGGCGATGAAGGCAAAGACTGGGTACTCTGAGCTGTCTTGGGGTCTTCCTGCTTGCTCAACTGCAGGCAGACTGTCCTGACTGCGCCCTCAGCATCCTTCAAGTCCCCATCTCCTGCCCCTCCTTCAAGCTAGGAGGGGTTGGTGATGTTCTCTTGGGATAGGTGCACTGGCAAGGAGGACTTGGTCAGGCTGGGATTGGACGTGGGTTGGGGAGTTTGGGGGGGCCACCGGTTCCGCATTTCATAAATATTAATACAGAGTCCTCCCTCTTCAAATGAGTAGATTCTTTAATTTTGTTAGAGGGGGAAGTGCTTTATTCACTTAATGGCTTTTATTAGTGCCCGGTCTTCAACTCTTTCATTAGCTAAAGTGCTGCTATAATTTACAGGGTAAAAGGGGGTGGGGGAAGAGGTGGTGTCTGAGGAGGGTTGATCCTGCTGCTGCGGGACAGGCAGGCAATACCCTCAACCACTGCAGCTTTTCCTAAAAAGTGTCTATTCTCTCAATAAAAACTGTAGTCTGTAACATCAGATACACTCTATTGCATCTACATTGACCATTAGTGTTGTAAAGTGTTGTGAGCATGTTGTCTCTTTTGCACATTGGCTTTTATATATCCATTAACTTGAATCCTGTTGCATTTGTAAATTCTTAACATCCAAAGCTAACGCTCAGAATCAGATGTATGTATTAATGTATAATATTGATAGCATTTTTGACAATTAAATGGCTACTTATATGTGAGCAGAAAAATATTTTTGTGGTCTCGCAAAGGAGTTTTTCTCTTTGACCACAGAGTGGATTCATTTAACTGGGGATTAAATATTGCCATTTCTCTTTGCTATTGCATGTTGTATGATTTCACATTCTTTTTAGTAAGCGCTGATAAAAAGAAAGTTAAATGTTAAAGTTGCTCTTGGACAGGTCAGTTTATTTTAACAGACGCAGCTCACATTACAAATGCAAGTACCACATACGTGCAGCATATTAAATACGCTATGAAACAAGCTCATACCTTTGGGAAGGCTAAGCTGAATTGTATGTAGCTTCATTGTTTCATGAAATGTAAAGTCTATTCTTTATAAATTTCCAGCCTGACGGTATCATACCATTGTCCATATACTTGTGTATGCAGTGGTGCCATCCACTGCAACAACTGGCTAGTACCAGGTGCTGAGACACAAAATGGCCGCTTCATGCAGGTTACAACATATCGACAATAGATAAAGCAAGCGTCCAAAGTACTCCTTGCTCTGATAAAATGCTCTTTATTTTGCTCTGTGGAGTCTTGTTAGTTGTGAACAGCTGGCGTATGATGTCCCCAGACTGCGTCTGAGTGAATGAACTGATTAACCTGAGTGGCCGTCCCTACGAGAGAGAGGGGGTGGTCCACCAGCCTGAATAACTGCCTTCATCATCAATGTCACATAAATCACTTAGCTGGACAGGGCTTTCAAATGAGACTGTTTTTTCTCTCTGAGCCAGACTGAAATGGTCGTGGTAACGCTGTTGCTCAGTGCTGGTGTGTTACTGAGGGAGACCATGTAGCTGTAACAGAGCACAGGATTCACTGATGCAACATTTCTGTGACGCCTTTGTGCCAGACCACACATGTAGCACATTATAAAAAGTGTACCTGGCTACATTTGATAAAAACATACTAACATTCATGTGGAAGGATGAAATAAATACAGTCCCCTCCAAAAGTATTGGAATGGTAAGGAAAATTCCTTTATTTTTGTTGTTCGCTGTTAAACAACTCAGGACATATCACCCTTTGTTTGAACCCACCCATTTTTCAAGTCAGCAAAACTTTTGGAACATTTGACTGACAGATGTTTCTTGTTGCCCAGGTGTTGCCTTTAAGGTTGATTGTCCAAACATTAAATATCTCAGCATGACTAACATCATCCTTGGTTCAAACCTGTAAAGACTGCATTTCCTATTAAAGAGGATAAACCAACATGAAGACCAGAGAGCTGTCTATGGGAGAAAAGCAAGCCATTGTCAAGCTGAGAAAAGAAGGAAAATCGACCAGAGCCATCGGACAAACATTGGGCATAGCAAGCACAACAATTTCGAATGTCCTGAAAAAGAAAGAAACTACTGGTGTACTGAGCAACAGACGTCCAACAGGTCGGCCAAGGAAAACAACAGCAGTTCATGACAGAAATATCGTGAGAGCTGTGAAGAAAACCCCCAAAACATCAGTAAGTGACATCACCAACGACCTCCACAGTGCAGGGGTGAAGGTATCACAATCCACTGTTGGAAGAAGACTCAGAGCAGAAATATAGAGGCCACACCACAAAATGCAAACCACTCATCAGCAGGAGGAATCGGAAGGCCAGATTGAAATTTGCAAAGAAGTACAGAGATGAGCCGCAAAAGATCTGGAACAAAATCTTATGGACTGATGAGATCAAAATTAATCTCTACCAAAGTGATGGAAAGGCCAAGGTGTGGAGAAAGAAAGGAACTGCTTATGGTCGCAGGCTTGAGGCAGTTATTGCAAGCAAGGGTTATGTAACCAAATATTAAATGTTATTTACTTTAACATTATTTGTTCCAATAGTTTTGCTCACTTGAAAAATGGGTGGGTTCAAACAAAGGGTGGTATGTCCTGAGTTGTTTAAAACATCTAGATGTGAATATCAGGAAATGAGAGCTGAAATTCTTAACTCTTGTCTCATACTCCTCATACTTTAGTGAACAACAAAAACAAAGGAATTTGCCTTACCCTTCCAATACTTTTGGAGGGGACTGTATGTCAAAGCTGGATAAAAGGAAAAAAAAAGAAGCTATATGTTGCGCTTGAATGAAAACAACAAGATTCCTTAATGTTTTTATTGTATAGATTTTTCAGATTTTAATGCAAACCTTAACCAATATTCAATATGAACTATTCATTGTGTTAAGTATTGTAGGTTCTCTTAAATGTGACACTTACATTCAGGTCATTTTTGTTTTTAAATTAGAGCAGAAAAAGGAACTGGGAACCATACGACACAGATGCTCTAACAAGGATGTGTCTGGTGATTTGCTGAGCAACTGTACAGAACACTTTGTGATACACAGGCCATGCAGTGAAGACTCCTTTTACTTTTTCACCAGCTGGATAACGTCTTCATCCACCAACACGTGGTCCTTGCCCACTTTTTGAGGGTTGTGTTTCACAGATGCTCCCCACACAAGCGCACTGAAAGAGGAAACGTTAAAAGAAATGACTGAAATGATTGTACATGAACGATTCCTTAAAGGCAGTTTATATGTATACTATCGTATACAACCACATAAAAAGGATGAAGGTGATCGACATGCGGTAATCCACACCTTAATTACACCAGAAAATAATTTATACAGATACTATTATTCTTTTTTTTGATACAGCAACAATGGTTCCCTACAGGGTAAAATGACATCCTTTAGTTACAAAGGCTTGACCCATTCATTCCCTGGACGATGGGTAATGCTTAGCAACATTAACATATCGACTGATCAACAATGTTAGCTCTCCCATTTGGAGATGGCCGTGCGACACATCATCTCAGATCCTAATCCAGACTCTCAAATACTTACCTCGCCATCATGAGGGCGATGGCTGTGATTAAAGCGACAGTGTTGTTTTAAACCATTTGATGATCACTTGTCATTCTGGGGTGAGGTAACTATCAATGCCTTTTAGTAAGACTACTTTTTCCCTGAAGAAACTGGTAATAAATTAACCGGCGGGTGGAATAAAGCAGATGTATTGTTAAAATGAGAACGATCCTCAGCATGTAAATGAATATAAATGAACAATGGCAACCAAAACAGAAACATTTTTGTGAATGTTTCTATTTCCAATGTTGTCTACAAATAAGACTACAAATAAATAGAGATTTAAACATGCTTATAAAGCGAGCATTTGCTGATTTTTTAAACATTATGTGTGGGGAAACGGGCATTTCCTTTCAATTTATAATTCTGACTTACTGAATAAACCTAACGCCAACTGTTTGGATTAAAACATAACGAATAACACAAAATGGATAGAGAGAAAAGACTTCTGTAGGGAGAAGTGTTCAAGATTGCATACAATCTGTGAGCTATGACAAAAGAATCCTTAAAGTGAAATATTTAAGCCAAGTCTGCAATACTCACTACTTCAATTCTTTGAGGAGGTTTTTGTGGATCTTTAAGCAGAAATCCTCGACTGTAGTTTTATCGTCAGGGAGCACAACGGGAGATGTGTAATCAGGAAGCTGGCCTTTGGGTTTAGTGTAGCTGCAAATGAACACATGATCTTGGTCAAATTCTCCAGTAAAACACGACAAAAATTTAAATTTCACACACACTCCTTTTTCTGCACCATTTAAACCCATATCTGTCTTTTTTCACCTCCATTCATTGGGGACTATATAAACAACTCTTACATGCGCACAAGCTTTAGGTAGTCCCACATCCTCTCCAGTAGGTCATCGAAATTCCAGCGGTGGTGGGCCGAGATGGGTACACAGTGGGGCACCTTGTAGATGATGTCAAGCTCCTCGATGGAGATCTGATCGATTTTGTTGAGCACATAAATGCATGGGATGTAGACCCTGTTGTGATAAGAGACTGTGAGTGGCTGCTGTCCATGAAATTGCTACATAAATCAGCAGCCTTGGATGTGTTGTCTGTTTCAGCTACTGCTGAAAAAAAAAACAATCTAACACAAAAACAAAACAACTTAAGCTGCTTTCAACCTTTTACTGCATTCACTTGTAGCCTCTGTTAAAACAGACATAGCAGACAGGGTTAAAACATTTATTTAGCCTAGCTTATTTTAACAAGATAATTTGAAATGTATGTGTACTATTGTGTATGTTGAGCTAAATAATGAAATGTTTGTGACGCTAAGTTACTTGAAAGTGTAAAGGGAATGTACTGATAGGAGCTAAACCTTTTTATTTTCACATGTAAATAACATTTACACACAAAACTCTGACAATGTGTGTGTGCTAGAGTGTTCTGCTGTGACCACATTGGTTAGCGTAGCGCATTTTGTGACTCTATGCATGTTATTACATAGACTGAGAGAGCATTTGTGCAAAAAGGACCATCTCTCTATACAATTGCAGGTATGTGGGTTTATTCATGGCTAATACTTTTTTTTGCACTGTTTAGCAGAAAGAATATATTTTGATTATCTTTTTACATGAGTTTTATTTATTATGTGTAATATTGATGTGCTCTCTCTTTTCATTAAGGTCTTTTCACTGTGAAGAGAACCATGTGAATGTTTTGTTTCTCAACAACTGCAGGTCTGGGAGGTTATGCTGTTGCCATGTCTGGTGCCTTGCAATAAAATGCTGAAATACAGCGGGAAGTAGTGTTTTCCTATTTAAAGCATAGCACAGACCCACTACCCATGCCCCACCTCACATTATCCATATCCTAGATTTTAATGCATTTGCATTTGAGTTTTTACATTTAATTACATTGTGGAACGGTAATCCCATTGGTTCACATAACAGATGACATTGCTTAACTTTAGTTTATGCATCTTACATATGTATGAAAAAATGTTAAGTGGTCTGAAAATGCCGTATGACACATGGACAGCATTTTCAAATGCATCTGCATTGGTATAGCGGGAATTGAAATGGGATCGGAGATTCCAACAGGCCACACCCACTGGGAATGAGTGAAGGCCCATTCTGGCACTTCAGCAGCTCACCGATTTCCCTCCACCACATCAATGAGGTCATCAGCTGTGGAGTCACTGCGCAGAGTGATGTCGGCGTTGTGGATCTTGTACTCTGCCAGGATACTCTTAACAGTTTCAGCATCCAGCTCAGATTGTGCACACTAAGGGTGGGGGGAGGGAGACAATGTAAACTTATTACATATTAAACAGTTGCATTAATGAGTAATTCATATTTTACAATTCACATCAATATAATGAAAATCTATCAGTAAAACAACATTGAGCCAATGAGTAATTATTGTATTAACCAAAAACAAAATAAATATTGATGTTTTGCAGAAGGGCCGGAGAGTAAATGTGTAGGAGCCACTTAGTGCAATCTTATGTGTGTCCACCAGAGGGCAGCATTAAAAGGTGTTACAGTATTTGCTACCATTGGGTGAGACATAATTACGTAAACAAAAATGCCTGGACTTCTTCAGACACACACTGGTTATTAAAGGCTTTTACATGTTTGTTTAAACTAATGAGAAGACAGAGAAAAGCCCATCATCAACATGAACAGACTATCAACTACAAATCTCCCTGACAACTAAAATCCTGCATGCCACAATAATGGCAGTATTAAAGGGACATCCTTTAATAGCCTATCAGCTTATAGAGTGATGTTTTATGTTATGATAATCTCACTATTCCAGCTCATCAGTTGGTTGAATGAAGAGCAGAAAACCGGTATTTATAACACTGTCACAGACATACCACCACTAAAATCCCATTTAAACACGAGGTGACATTAGTGAGAAGTTTGCATTTCTGTCATTCAGTGTAAGTCATACTGTAGCTGTGAAGTTGATGCCTCCTTTGTCCTTCTTCTTGAAGCCGATGTTGGGTGGCTGCTTGTTAAGTCGGATGCCGAAGCCCTCCAGCTCGTGTTCTATCAGCTTCTTATGACCGAGGGGCTTCAACACATCGAGCACTATTAGGATTAGGTTGCAAGTTCGAGCCACTAAACCAGAGGGAGGAGGAAGAAGTAGACATTGGGGTTAGAGGAGAATAGATGAAGGAATCAGTTGCCTCTGTAGTGGATCCAGTGTGTATCTGCAGCCATTTAACAGTAACAATGCTTGTGAGGTTTTATTTTATCCCACCACCATTTAAAGGGTGAGATCAGTATTTTGGAACATGGAACCTCTTTCCCCATGTTTTTCTGTCTGTGACTAATTGGAACATTTTTTGAAAGTGGTCCAGTACTGAGAGAGTGCTGCAGTCGTGCAGTTTTTGTCCAGGGAATCTGGTGGCTTTCACGAGAGCAATATAGTGAGTGTTTCTGGTTTAACAAAAAGGATCTTAATCTTTAAAAAAAGGTCTATTTCTGTAGGGAAACCTTTCCACAATCTTGTCAGACACTTGTTATAACAATCTGAGCCTGTCAGTGGCGAAAACAAGTAAGTCGATGTACTTTGACGATGTATACTTGCTGGCGAGAATAATGTTGCAAGCCCGTTTCAGCCGCTGACAACTGCAGCTTGCTCGGTCAATAATGTTTTCCCAATTAGTCACATAGACAAAAACATGGGAAAATAGGGTCCAGGTTGAAAAATGCAGAACTTAATATGTTTGTCACAGTGTATATAGTTTGCTAAAGCATTAACTGTAAGCCAAAAGCATATCAAAACTTTGTTAAAGTAAGCTTTTGTCTTTCTGCCTGACAAAGGTAGAAAAACAAAACCTTTGGGCAGAAATAATTTGATTGAATCATGACATCTAAACATTACCTTCAACTCTATAAAAGCTGGGGAAGGCAATTTATCTCAAAAGCATTTTTGTTAAAATTGTTGAAATTCTAATTAGATCCTGAAAGCAATCAATAAATCAAAACCAAATGCTCTGATACAAAAATCCAGCATCTGTGGCTGTTGCAGGACAGTAATAAGCACGGTCCAAATTAAACGATTGGCTGGCCTACATACCTGTGTGCACTCTGCCCGTACATTCACTGCACATGACAATGTGTTTTCGGAGAGTGGCTTTGGAGGGAGGCCTGAAGGGAGGGGGTGTTTTTTTTTTCCAGTTGGTTACTTTTAAAATCTAGCTGTCTTATGCTAGTTTTGCCAAGTTGCTTATCCCAACTTTAAGGTTAAATTTTGCCTCTTCACCGCCATTAAAAGCACAAAGCACCACACAGTAAGTGTCTCATTAAATGGAATGACTGGATTACATTTCTGAATTAATATAGATAGGGAAAGAACTAAATTTACTTGGTATCATGTTTTGTTTAATAGTTTTATTTTGTCAATGAAAACCTCTTTTAGTCTTAGCAGAAACCTCACTAATCACATCTTTACCTGCGATGACCTGTCTCCCTCTGCCCTTGCCATCCTTGGCACCCTCAATGATTCCTGGGAGATCCAGCAGCTTAGAAGGAAGAAGCAAGAAAGTAAAACAAGTGACCCACTGAAAACATACCACCCTTTTGCAGGTACTGGAAAAATAAGAAATTCTAGTACCTGAATTTTGGCTCCTTTGTAGCGAATGACTCCAGGTACCGTTGTAAGAGTGGTGAACTCGTAGGCGGCAACCTCTGAGTACACACCTGCAAGGTTACTTAGCAGTGTTGACTTTCCCACTGACGGAAAACCAACAAAACCGATACGAGCATCACCGGTTTTTGCAACATCAAAACCTAAAAGACAAAAAAGAACAAAGGATCAGAAACTTGAATCAGTCAACTATCCTCTGTGATGCTTTAAATGGCAGAACATGTTTAAAAGCATGTTTGTAATTAAACCTAGATAAGAGCAAAAACATTTAGCATTTAAAAACTGTGATATTACCTTCTCCTGTTGCACCACCACTTCCTCCTTTTGGTGTGATGAGTTCCCTTCTGAGTTTGGCAAGACGTGCTTTGAGCAGACCCAAGTGGTGAGCTGTGGCCTTGTTCCTCTGCGTCCTGGCCATCTAAAATAAACAGTAACCCCACCAGCGTGAGGTCTTATACTTGTTTTTTGCATGACAGTTCTGTAGGAACCAGTGAGCAGTATCTTAATACAATTAAGTTGTCTGTTTACAGTCCGGTAGAATTTAAGATTACACTACTACTGAAAAACAATAGATTGTGCTCCCTGCAACACACTGGCAGCTTGTCCAGAGTGCTTCCCTGCCTTTTGCCCAATGCATGCTGGGATAGCCTTGAGCCCATCACATTTTTGAATCAGAATAAGCAGGTATAAAGAATGGAAGCAAGTTAAATCTGGCCATTGTGAAATTATTGCAATAAAAATCACAATTATGTAGTATGTATTATGTTTTATGTAAAGCACTTTGAATTACCTTGTTGTTGAAATGTGCTATACAAATAAACTTGCCTAGTACTAATGTATTATTTATACTAATTATTTAGATAAAAGACATGCTATCATTATTGTTGATCATATCCTGATTATTATGGATTGTTCAATATGGTATGTGCAGTTATTTTAACAAATTGCATTTTAGAACAACAACAAGAGATTCTGTACAAAAATGTATTCCCATAGTTTCTCTGTTGCTAATATAAGGTTCAGCAGTCTGAGTTAAGAAAATCATGTGGGTATCTTAAAATATTACTCTATGTAGTACAAAAGTGGACTGTTGATTTTGTCCCCCATACCCTACATGTGTTGGTGGCCGGTATGAACAGAAGGAATCATTGCAGTATGTATAAACTGTTTCAGTGTACATATGGTTACCTGACTATTGTGAACCTATCTGTTAAGCTGGTGGGATATAATACAATAATGACTATGAACCATGTATGTGATGTATGTGATACCATCTTAGCTGACTTGTGCTGACACTTTTACCCAGCCTCTCTGTATCACCACCTGCTCAGTTAGGCAGCACCACAGTCTAAAGTTAACTTGTAATTTAAGAGTTATCGCTAAACCTAAAGGATCACAGGTGGGTTCATATTTCTTTCTAACACTAAGCCCCTCACTCTATGTCAAGCTTAGTCCTTACGCTTCAAAAATGCCTCGTCCAGGGTTGAATTCAAATGCTTAATATAACCACCATAAGACAGCATTGTAATATTGTTTTCAAGTTAGAATTGTAGCCCAATTTATGGAGGACACCGATCGAAAACGCCGGGTACTAAAAGAACAGTTATCTTTCTTGGTAAGTTACGCTAACTTTGGATGCTGGCTATGGGACTGACTGTGGATGCGGGATTTAATTCTACACAGAACATGTAACGTTACGTAGTTGATAGTTTGACTGCCAGACAGTCAATCTGGAGTCAGCACTAACGGAATCTTTGCTAACAGTTAACTTATTGACACAGGGTATATCCTCTAAATTCTAACATTTGATTCATAACATTTAAAAGCCAAATGAGCACGCAAAGCAAACAACTTTTTCAATTCACACTGTAACGTTAATCTACCAAGAAACATTTAAGTGTACCTACGAGGCCCAGCTGTGGCAGCTAGGCTAATATTTGCTAGCATTCAGAGCTAGCACTTAGCTAAGTTAGCTAAAACGTGACTGATTCATTTGGGTTAGCCAGCTATCAATGTATAACGTTACCATACCTCATTTTCAATCTCTGCTATTTTGGCGAGTATACTCATTGTGACGAAGATTCCTGCGTACAACCACCGTTACCGAGAGAAGCTGGAAAGATGTTACATTGAAGTTGGCAAAGTTAGATGATGCTTAGCTAGCACACTAGTCCGCTACACCGTGGTCTACACTACGCAAGCGCCGCTATCCTGTTTCGCGGGAAAATCTCGCGAGGACGTAGTTTGACTTGCAGCGCCCGGTGCATTGACTTCCTTACACCTGAATTAGTAATTTTCTTGAATATTTCCCTTTTATGCTACTTTCTTCTTCTACATTGCAATACAGACGCAAATATTGTACCTTTTATTCAATTTCATTGATTTTACATCTACAATAACTATTTTCTTTTCAAATTGAGATTGTACATAGCCTAAAAACAAGAATAAAATGTTAGGTTAAAGAAAAACCAGTTAGTGGCTCTGAAACTTTTTTGGCTTGTATCGCTTTACAAAGAGAAGTGTTTACTTGGAGTCCCTCACCACAGCTTGTAGATGTCTTTGAGGCATTAGTTGCTGCTCCATAGATGCATTTTTAAACCTTTCTGATGGTTTCATTTAAATAAAAGTTCAAATATCATAAATAAGTTCAGGCCCAAAAACTTAACTTTTTTTGCTTTTCTACCCCATTAGTCATCTCACAACCCAGCCAGATCTATCTTCTGATCCTTTGGATAGGTCTGACCCCTATGTTGGGAAACACATTAGGCCTACTAAACTACTTTATTTAGCCTAACTGTGTATAAAGTAGTTACAACAAGCTACACGCTGACCAGCTCTGCAACAGTGAGTACTTTTGTATACTACTTGGATGTACTTTTACTTAAGCAGGATTTTTAATATAAGAGTTTTACTTGCAATGAAGTAATTTTATGCTGTGACAGTGGTACTTTTACTTAAGTTAAGGATCTGAGGGCTTCTTCCACTACTGATGGCCAGCCTCTTACAGTCCACATTAGAATGCTTACTGTCTAAGGCAAAAAATTGTCCGGAAATACAAATGCCACACACACCTCCTTAATTTGTCTCCACTTACTGATTGTAAGAAAGAAAGGTTGCCACAACAGATCAAATTAAATTAAACCGAAAAGTGGTCTGTGCCACAACTCATAGTTGTATAGATATAATCGTATTACCTCTGCAGGAGCACACACAAATTCCACATTTTAATGTGTCATATTTTATATTCTCACACATTAAAAAAGGACACCGGCCTGTCAAATTTTATATTTTATTGTTTATTGTTTTAGTCGCATACAGTATAATCTCTTGTTGGTTTCTATGTTGCTGAAGTTTGTGGACTGAACATCTGTCATTATTGTTGACCATCTGATTGACAATTGTTGGTTATTAGGTTGGCTGGTTGAACAATATCAGTGCTGCTGATTTGACCAGATCTCCTCTGACCCATATGTTCTGTGAACCTTGAAACAGTTGCATAAACAACTATGTCCATATGGTGAATAATAATGTCCAGAGTGTGTATTGGCCACAACAGGGCTTTTCACACAGTTAATATGGAGGCCGACTGTATGAAAGGCCAAAGAGGAAATTTCAATCAAATTTAAATATCTTAATTTGATTTTTGACATTAAAACCTAATAAAAATTACCTAATAAATGCCAGCCACTGTAGGTAAATTTACCAGCATTGCTCTTCCAGCTCAGCCAACAGTGTCATCTAAAGCATTTGCTGTAAAAAATAAATGCAATCTGAAGAATAATGCAATTTTTAAATAGTCTATAATAGATGAATTTATGTACCTTAACTCCAGTCCAAGATATTAAACCATGTGCTAGATATGCTGAATCTGTCACTTCAAACATCCCCATTGTTTGTTTAGTTGTAGGAGGTGTGCTTGTCCTCATCAAAATATATAAAAATAGGCATTTTCTTTTTAAAAGGTAGATATGGTTTCAACAAGTTGTGGTTCAGCATTTATTGTTGCCCAGCTGGGGTGACAGCAAGCATAAATAGCACAGGAAGGGAGGGCAGGAGGTGAGACACAGCAAGACAAGGGGTAATTACTGAGTTTGTGATCACTCAATACTTTTCCGTAGAACTCTACAAGTCTAAGTTAATGCTTCTTTGTGGAGAACAGAAAAAGGGCTTTGATTGGATTCATCAACACTACCCACAACTTGAGAATTGACAATAATAAACCCATGCCCAAACATCTCAAATGTTCTTCTTTTAATGAGCAACGCATCTTTATATCATACGTCAGTCAGCATTGAAGTGCATTGATTAAAAAGTAAGTGCAAGTACAGATCTTGATGCATTCAGTTTGACTAGAGGATTAAATTATTTGCAACGTCGCCCCAAAAATAGTCATTCTACAGGGGCACTCTGCAAAAGAAAATCGCTATAGTTGATGCTGTTTCTAACCTAAAAGATATATGCTTTTTTTCCTCATTTCAAGCTTTTTAAGTTATCTCTGAGTGACAGTGTGTAGGAGCGATTTTCATCTGCCTTCTGGTGTCAGTCCAGTCCATCAAACACAGCACTTTTCCTCAATATCACTGTCATGCTCCCTGACTAATTTCTCAGTGGTTTCTCAGTTTTCTTTGAGGAACACGGCAACTGAATCAAGCCAGCAGAAGCACAAAGTCTGTGAGAAGCACTATTTTAGTGCAATAGTTTCACACATGGTAACCTTGCCACCTAAAACTGGCTATCTCTGCATAGAGATGGAGTAGAGCTCTTATCATAGCCCCATCGATAGGCCTTTTAGTTTTTACTGAGGGAAGTGCCATTATTTGTGGTCATGTCACCAGAGCAAGGATAACAACATCTTTTGAGGTAATAAAAAACAAATAACAGCATGAAGTTATCCATTAAAATGCATTGTCCCTAGTATCTTGGATTCTGTCATCAGAATTTGGATAATACTTATTGAAACCATAAGGCTTTACGATAAATGCAACTCGGCCATATGATGGCAAAAGTCTTCATTGGAGGCATTCCCCTTGGACTCTAGCTGCTCTCGGAGGAGGTGGGCGGTGCTGTGGAGGACGACCTCCGCCGGGACACTGACTGTGAGCGCTCAGGGCTGTGTTTGTCATAAGGCTGGAGCTGCACCTCCAGGAAGTCCCTGTGCTGCTGGCTGATGACCTGGCTGATGAGACCTGGCAGAGCCTGCAAGTTACTCAGTAGCGTCTCCAGCTTTGTCTCCAGCAGGGCGATCCTCTTCTCCATGTCCTCTCCTCTCTCATTCAAGTCCGATATCATGTCATACATGATGTTCTGAGTCTGGAACAGGGGAGAGGGAACACACTTAACAAGATCACTTTCCACATTGGTGTTATTTTTGTATTTAGTGTATGCATCCATCAATAACACACAGGATTACAGATTAAAAAAAACAGTCTTCTCAATATTTCAATAAATAATATGCAAGTGCTCTGAGGTTGTTCTGAAAAGGAGAGGAAAGAAATAGAGGCTGTGAATTTCACATTAATAAATTCACTTTCTCAACACATTCTTGAAGACCTATGAATAAAGCAGCCATTACCAACTCTTTACTGTCTGACACAAACAGAATTAAAGGAGAGGTTCACATTTGAAGTCTGTCTGAATACTCACATGCTCAAATGTACATTGAAAGAGGTATTAGTCATTGGAATTGTTTGTTTTCTCTGTAATTGGACAAAGAGATCCCTTTCTAAAGCAAATTCAGTGTAAATGATGTGGACGAAATCCACAGTCTTTATACTGTGTAAAAATACATCTCAAAGTTCGTTTGAAGCCAATATGCGGCTTCAGCGAACTGCGATAGACAAATCAAGTGGGTATCCTCCAAAGTTACATTTTAGTTCCATATTTGTGCTTCAGTGGACAGTATTTGCTTGCTGATCTACGGTGGAGGGACAGCAACACAAATAGATTCAGACTGTTGAAACCTCATATCAGCTTTGACTAAATTCTGAAATGCATTACATGAGGTCTGTGAATTTTGTCCCCCCATCACTTACATTGAAGTCACTTTGAGACGGGATCTCTTTGTGGCCCCTATGAACAGGAAAAACAATAACAGCAGACAAAAACCGCTTTAATGCACATCTTGGCATGTGTGTATTGTTTTAAGATAAATTGAAAAAATGTGAATGTATCTTTTAATCTCAGCATCTAACACAAAATACTGTTTAGTAGAGCAAAGAAAATATCAGTTATTAACATGAAAACCACGCCAAATTGACCATTTAAATATTACAAGTCAAAGTAAATGCTTTTATTATGGTCTGTCATTGAGTTTATGTTATCCATTTAGGCTGCAATTTCCCAGCAACTATCCCATTGTTCTCCAGTTTAGGGAGAGGATAAAAAAAAATCCAAATTAAGACCGAGCAGCTGAGAAGGGTATATTTTATTTGACCAGTTTTCAAGAGTTCATGTTGCATACAGACGAGAGTACATTAGCCGGTGACCTGCAGGTGACAGGAAAGGTGCCTGCTGATGTTACATGATGCTTTCTGCTCAAACATCTGTACACAGACCTTTAAAATTATACTGCAGCCGCTGGCTTATAACTCCCAAGGTTCAGTCTTCAAAAATAGTCAACAACACACCATCCATGTCACATTTCAGATGAGGTGTGGGAGTGATGCTGCAGTTTCTGAGCTATTATTCAGCGTGGGACTAATAATCCCTGGCAGCCTAGAGGCGACGCCATCCATCACTTACCTTGTTCTCTTCTGATTTGAGGCGGGAATAATGGGATAGGTTGTTCATGTGAATCAGTGAGAACTAAAGTAGCATTGACTCAGCCTGACAGCAAGTGGAGACAAAGGTGTGTTTATTACTTACATAAACACTATTCTTATAATCCTTGATTTCTTGTCATGTGCAGATTTTTCAGTGGATAATAAATGCAATTTCACATTTATTAAAATATAAATGTATATTCATGAAATACTTAAATGTATGGATATTTTATCTTATACATGTTTAATTTTCCTCTTGCTAAAAAAATTGCGTCCAGGCACAGGCCTGTGTGGAGCCGAACTAGCCCAAGTCTGGGCCTCATCTGTAAATCATGAAATGTAAAAAGAACACATTAAATAGTGACGACAAATGCTAGAGACCAGTAAAAGAGGCCTAGTGAGTCATGAGGGAACAAATATCATAAATAG